TTGCCATTCCAGTATTTATCTTATGTTTTACTCTTAGTACTTCTTTGCTATCATGAAAACTTTTTCTTAGTTCAATTGTTTTGAAACATTTAATTTTCTGAATATTGCTTAATTTTAATTTTTGTTCTAAGATTTATACTGTATCTTTGACTTACAATTTATTTAAAAGACACTGTATGATATCTTCTAGTATTACAAACTTTAAAAAGTATATTTCCATTTTCTGTTGACTTTAAAAAAAAAAGAGGTTTGTACCTATAAAAAAAAAAAAAAACTGCAGACATATACCAAAATAAAGAAGGGAATCAGAGCTGGATGGAGAGGGTAAGGAGGGAAAGAAAAGGGGATGAAAAACAGAAACTAAGATGTACTATACACACATACCAACTCCCCACAAGGAATGTAAACACTACGTACTAATAAAAGGATTTAATTTTTTTTTTTCTCAACTGGATTTAAATTTTTAAAAGGCAGGGTTTCTGTCTTAGCACTACTAACAGCCTAAGAGTAATCCTTTGTAGGTGGGTAAGGCCCTTCCTGTGCATTTTAGGATATTTTGCAACATCCTTGCCTTCTGTCCACTACAGACTAGCAGCACACTCACCTAAGATGTGACAACTGAAAAATGTCTCTACGGTGGGGTACAAGGGAGGCAAAATTACCTCAAATTGAGAAGTACTGCCAAAGGTTTCCTCAAATAAGAACAGTAAGCCAACAGGCCCAGCAGAGTTTTGCTTTGCTCTCAATACATTAGGTTAGATTCAACTAACTGCCAGTGTCTTTGCTATCTCAGCAACCCACTTCCAAACCATAGAACACAAAACCCACAGCAGACCTTCTGCAAAGCAGAGAATGCCCATCTACTTGTTCTCTGTTGAGGATTCAACAGTGCAGTGACCTGAATACAGACAACTGCAGGCCCTAGATCACATCCAAAATGCTGAAAGATGCTTAACATCCATGCAGATCCTCCTCACATTCATTCTCTCCAAAACCCTAATTCCAGTCATCTTCTTTCTTAGGTGACTTATACAATAAAAAGAAAAACCAAAAAGCTTTAGTGGAATGCCTAATCTAGTTCTCTAGTTCTAATTAGCACCCTGACAATAATAGTCAAACATCAGGTGACCCTCTACCATTCAGACTAGATGATAATCAATAGAATAATTCCTCCAGTGACCTGACAATCATGGAGGCCAGAATGTCACATCTAGGACACAAATAAAAAGTACCTGAGAGGCCTTTTAGAAAAGTCAGAAAAAACTCAGAAATTCTGGAGCCTAGAAATGTTTCAAAATTTTCCCAGATTTTGCTGAGACATAATGTTTGGAAACCAGTGATCTGAATTCAGCTCTTCCCCATCTGGATGAGGAGCCTATACTCCAGAGATGGCCAGCTTGCCTGCTGTCACCACAGTACTACTGGTGCTACGTAGGCACTTGGGAAATTGTGCTCTTGAATCCCAACACACATTCTACTATGAGACAGGAGCACATGATCAAATACATGTAAGGTATGGAACCAAATTAGACCACAGCCATGTCATTGGACAGAAATAATTGGTCTCATCCTGTTCCTGCTCACTTTCTCACCTTCTTTCCGTATTTCCTAAGAGCTCGCAGTTGCTTAGCCTTTTCAGACTTCTCCATGGCAGCTTGTTTTGTCTGAAGCTTCTGTCGAATCTAAAATGCAAACAAAATGTCATCAATCTTAGAGTGCACCAAAACAAGGAACAAATATTCTCAGTTCTGCAAAATATGGTGTCATCTACTGTACTCTAATCCATGAGAACAAAGAGGCCCAAAGGCTCAGCCCTTTGCCTAATATACCAGCATCACTGGAGGAGACAGATATTAGAAATAACCTTCCCATTCCCAGTGTGACATTCGTCCCATTATACAAAACTGTATGCTTGTAGTCCAAGAACAATCAATTACTCTTCCTCCTTATAAAATTTACTCATCTCTATAAACTAACATGAGGCTTCAGTGCCCTTCTCTCATGAGCCACATAAACAAAAAAAACTCCAACAGATATCCAACACCTAGGCCCTTTCATCAAGCATACACATTTCATCTAAAAATAGGACGTTATGGGGCTGGTGAGATGGCTCAGTGGTCTAAAGTACCTACTTAGAACAAATGTAGCAAAGCACAGGGACCCGTTTCAATCCCCCCAGCACCACATGCCAGCCAGCCCCGCCCCCTGGTGGGCTGAGCTGGCCACACACAAAATAAATAAATAAAATAAATTTAAAAAAAAAAAAAAAAAAGAACTTTAAAAAAAAATTTAAAAAAATAAAAATAAAAATAGGAAGTTGTAAGTGCAATTGTACAGAGATGCCTCTGAGCTAGTCTCCAGATGAAGTTCTTTCAGTACCAGCAAGGTAAGAAGTTCATAAAATCTTTCCTGATACCCAAAGGAAACACTTAAACATAGCCTGGATATATATATTAGAAATCCTACTCCTCCCAAAATTAAATGCAGAACACATTATACCTAACTCCACATTATACTATGATTAAGCCCTATATTAATCCCTCATTTCCTAGAAAACTGAAGCTCAGAGAATACAGTATACAGTGACAGCACTCTCAGTGGTAACAGCAGGATCAGAACAAATTATACCATTACCATCACAGGAGGAAAACAGGAAATCCATTTTTACTTCAGAGACCATACCTCTCATAGTACTTCTCTTACCATTTAAAATTGGAAAATGTAATCTCACATTTATTTAATGGGTGGTATCTGCCATGAATTTCCCCAAGAGATAATAATTGTCTAGCAACCAGCTCCCCAGTATTGGACTTATACCTGTTTTTTCAAAAACACTGTAGGAGATAAATCTACTAAACATACTTCAGTACAAAGCTTTGGCTTTCCAGAGAAAAACTTCATTTCTTACCTTTTGCATCTGCTGATCAGACTTGGCCATTTCTGCAAAATAATCAGTGGGCCGCTTGGTAGGGACTTTGAGCTGGTGGAGGCGAGGTAGCGCTGCGAGCACTGCTGCCTGAGCCTGGCGGTAGCTGAGATTGCAGACAAAGTGGAATGAGAGGAGGGAGAAAGGCCTCCACACCATCTTACTGCCTCTCAGTTATCCAAGATCAGAAGGACTATCAACACCTGACCTCCACTAGTAAAAACAAAGGAATAAACAAACAAAAACTGTGACAAAACCTCACTAATTGACATCCTAGAGAAGTTTCACTGTATACCATGTTTCAAAAGGAAAGTGCTACTAAAATAAATTAGTAGTATAAAAGAATGACCATTCTAATGGTACCCATTAACATATAAGCAAATGTCAATTATTAATTCTTTTGTCATCACTACAGAAAAGTCCTCAAAACAGCCTTTCATAAACAAAAATTTGTTCTAGAGACCAAACGCACACACAAAAACATGGGCTCTTTTCCTAAGCAAAGAATCTCCCAATGTCCTCTCTATTCCCAGATTTAGGCTAATTCCCTGGGGTTTCTGAGGGCGACGGCTCGCCGCTGTCCACTCGCCGCCCTCTAGTACAGGAATGCCCCCAACTTCCCCCACAGCGGCAAGCAAACATACAAACTCATTTCTCGCTGGAAGTCGTTCTCTGGATTAACAGCTTTCTGGTCCTCGTTCTGAGGCGCTGCTGGCTCTGGTCCATTGACATCCGGTACGGGACCCAGGGTCACATCGAGTCTTTCAACCCAGTCTAGATCCCGCTCGAATTCCGCCAAACATTGCTTCAGGCCATTCTAAATAATCCAGACACTGAGTTTAGGGCCCTGAGTTTTTCTCTCCCAAGCCCAGGTGCTAAACCAACTAGACAAAACGCTAACCAACTACCTTGACAGATAACACTCCTGGCAAATTCGCGCTTCCTGTGTCACGCAGCAGCCTCTCAAGCACTACTCCTCCGAAAGCGCACCCCGCCTCCCAGCACCCCGTCTGAACCGGCACCCGCGCTCGCTCACCACGTTGTTCACGGCCTTCTTCGGCCCCTCGAGCACGACATTGAGGCCTGGCTTCAGGAGTCCGCGAGAAAACGCATCTTGCAACTGCAGGGCACAGTCGGGGTCACAACCAGAGGAAAAAGGTCCCTTCTCCCGCGCCCAGTCCCGCGAGCTCCGCCGTCACCTACCTCTCGATCCGTGACCAGAGAAGCCTCGGAATCCGAGTCCGAGTCTGACAGCGGGGGAGTGTCCATCTCGCAGCCACCAGTCTCACGCCTACCGGAAGAAGCGGGTCAGTCCGCGACCCGCGCGACCGGCCCAGACCGGTTCTCACCCGGGACGCTGCCCTCAGGACTCACACAGAGCGGCTCCACGTGCGCTCGTACCGGAGCTGCCACAACTCCGCGGCGGGGCTCAGCTTTTCCAACGGGACTTCCGCTTCCGGCGTCCGAACCACACTTCCGGTTTGTGGTTGCTATAGAAACGGCTCCCGCGTTAAGCAGCGCACTGATTGCTTGGGATCTCTAAAACTAGCGCCTTTGGATTTGTGCGTGTGTGACCCAGAGGAAAAAAGCAAAAGGTGGGAATGGATCCCTGGAACTCATCAGAACGAGCTGGGAGCGGAAAAGGGAGGACGGAGCGGGGGAAGGGAGTCCGGAGGCTGGGGCGGGGCGGGGCGGGGCGGGGCGCGGCGCGGCGCGCTTGCTCTCACTGACTGCGCTCTGTCTTTACCAGACCTCTGGAAAAGTACGATGTCGACCGTCGTAGCTCAGTCGCTGCATGTTTTTGGTCTTCGATCTCACGTAGCCAACAACATCTTCTTCTTTGACGAACAGATCGTTATATTTCCTGCGGGAAATCACTGTGTGAAGTACAATGTGGACCAAAAATGGCAAAAATTCATTCCAGGTACATGTAATGACCTTACACACATTTAAGTCATTACAATATGTAATGTCAGGATGGCAGTAATGGCATGTGCATATAGAACAGCATAATCTCAACCCCGTGATTGGAAAGGAAAATGGCAAGTGTAATATACATACAATTTTATAAATGTAGGGGATATAAATGTTTTTGTTTTATGTATTTAGGACAGGGTCTGCAGGGCCTCACTACCTAGATCAGAGCTGTAATGATTCTCCTGTTTCAGCCTCCCAAGTGCTGGGATTATAGGCGTGTGCCACCACATCCAATCTCAGTCACCATCTCAGGGGGTCCGGGGGCATGGCACGCCTGGGATCAAACCCAGTCATTTCACTCTGTGTAAGCAGGAGTTTTAGTCCACTAAGCTATCTGCTCGGCCCTGAGGGTATAAATATTAAGTGTGTATTATATAATTACAGATTAATCAAAGATACATAAAACCAGATGTAAAGTGTTTGAAGTATTTTTCACTGTAATCTCATGAAAAAATAGCTTGATGAATCTCCTTTCATGCACCTTCAGTATCTTGGCTTTGTCATCACCAGAGGGTCTTTTGGAGTTGACTAACAGTTTGGGGGAGGTTGTTTGTTTGTTTTGAGATAAGGTCTCTCTGTGTAGATCAGGATGGCCTTGACCTCCCAGCACTCCTCCTGCCTCAGCCTCCCAAGTGTTGGGATAACAGGCATGCATCACCATGCCCAGCCTAAGAGTTTTAAAAAGCACACCACCTTCATTACACCTTTGAATCTTTGTGTCATGAGGATTCTAGAAAACTTATCTACATCACAAATAACTATATGTGTGATGTTATAGTTGTTTTTATCAATATTGGTCTTATAGATCATATTCATGACACTTCAGTCCCTTCACTTTTCCCCACCCTCTTGCATTGAACACATTTTATTGCAACATGCACATAAGAGTGTGTATTACATATATGTAATAGTTAAGAATTACTATAAAATGAAGGTCTTTGAACCCAGCCACCCAGGATAGGAAACAGAAGTTACCAGTTCTAGAGCTGTTGCCCACTGTCATTCTCCCACACTCAACACATGACTCATCTTGGATTTTGTGACTATTTCCAGTAGAGTTTTAGC